AAAAATACTTTCATTTTCTACGAAGAGTGCTATGCAAAAACAAAACGTTCTTTTGTTGTGAACAAAATGTTGACTTATTTCAAGCAGTATCATTTACGTTTGTGCTAGTTTTATTGCAAAAATATTATTTATTCTTATGTATTTTGTTCTAATTTGAATTATAATTTTCTTGCAAAACAAAGGTTCAATTCTGTTCATATGAAAATCGAATTTTCTCATTCTCTGATGCCAACGCTGCAACCGGACATATGCATCAAACTGTCAAACTTTTGTTCACAATAAAAGAACGTTTTGTTTTTCCAAAGCATTCTTCCTAAAAAATTAAAAATTGTATTTTAGGAAAAATGTGATACTGAACCACCATATGTGATATGTCGTCGTAAAGAGAGAAAAAGACGTAATCTTAAAATCTCAAAATTAAAAATGGCGCCCATAAGAAAAACTAAAGTTGCCACATGTTTCTCTGTCATCTTAAAAGTTATTTAAACGAAATGTAACATTCGAAATCTCCATTGAAAAGTGTTCGAATAATGTGTTAATTAGAAATGTCTAGTACGACTAGTTTATCATGAAAAAATTAAAAACGAAAATCAGACAGTTTCGTTTTTTTGCGATATTTTCAGAACTATTGATGATATTTTAAATTTCTTTTCAGATGGTTATTCAGCAGGGAAATTCGCAACTTTGCCCCCATTTAACCAACTTTCTATCTCTTAAGGTAAGCGAGATCCCCATAGTGGTACTGGAAAAATGGACACCGTGTATATAATATTATTATACAAAAATTCTGTAAAGCTTTTTCATCATACAATTGTGCGGACTAGTCGACAGCTTATACAAACGTTAATGAACTGCCTGCAAACACATCAAAACAATGATGAATGATCAGACTGGGATTGTTAAAGAGCACTCTCTAACGGTGAGAATGGGAGATTCGCACGATATTTAGAAATGATGCATATGACCGCATGCAACCAAACGAGATAATTAGAATCATTTTTGATTAATTAAAGTGAAATTCCATTTAGAGGATCAAATGAATATAATAAATTTGTCGGACTGATTGATTTATACATTCAACTCCTACTTCGGTATCAATTAATGTAATGAAATCAAGATGTAGACAACGGGTCGTATTTATGAATACAGGTGGCAGGTGGTGTTTACGTACTACATAAATAAAATCGTCAAACGTGGTGGTTCATTGTTCCCCGAACAGCTATATTACATCTTTCCAAATTTGGCCGTAGAACAATTTGCGATATTAAAAACATTCCTCATTTGGAACAATCTGGTCAACGTCGGCGTAATTTCAGGTCATTGCCAGTTTTACAGGATGTTATGGAAGCAGAAAGGTTGTCATCACTCGATTTTTAATATTGGGTAAAGTGCTTTTTAATCGTAATGTAAGCAATTCACCTTTCACTAATAAACAGCATTAAAAACGGTAAATGAACGTAGTGAACAAAGTAAAGAGGTGGATAAACACCACCACAAATGACAGCTTTATTTCTATAAATGTGCCACGTTGTTGCAAGGAGACGACTTTCTTTCACGCTTTTTAAAACTTACATTAGTGGGGAACATTTTAAATCTGTATTTCAGGCAGGTCCAAAGTATCCAATGACAGATCTGAAATGCAAGGGTCCATAAACCATAGCTGCAGCAATATATTCTCCTAATTACAAGCAGACGCAGTAGTCCGGTCCTAACAGTCGGGATAAATAACATCCCCTGACCTTGAGCTGCTGCCAACACATATTTCCAATTATCTTATTTTGTTTTACTGCCTCTGCCAGATTAAAGAATACTTCTTATACTGAAATTTCATTCGTCGACTTTAAATTATTTTAGAATGGCTCTAACAAAACTTACTCACTTAAATTATTACTACACGTTTTTGATGAATTGAATGCCGAAAATAACTTTCCTATTCGTTTACATTTGTAATTTGTCATGCGAAGTCAATTCGGGGTGTTGAAAAATTGGGGAACCGCGCTATTTCTATGTCGTCATTTCATAAAGATTAAATTTAAATTTGTATTATGGAGGAATTTTGAATTTTTTTTCTTAAAAAATAGTCATTCATTTTCAAAAGGGTTTCATTCCAATATTTGCACAATAATTTTAACAAAAACCATCTGGCAATACTGCTGGTTGGTAAGGCACTTTGGTGTTTTTTTGCCCTTTATTTATTTAAGTAAAAAATCTACAGTCTACTGATACGCTCATGTTATTGACTCTTACCTAATGTGATATGATTATATTGTCCGGGTCGAAGAACAATTTGACAAGAGCTTTTAAATTAAATTTATTATGACGGTTTTTTATAATTTTTTCTAACAACCTTATTTCTATGGCAACATTTTTTAATTATTCAGTAAACTTGATACCAAAAAAAAAATACAACATTTCTCCACCCTAGTAATTGCTTCTCTTCCAGCAATTACTACTGCAGATCAAGTACAATGAGTTTGGACAGTGCTCTTCGGTATACCTTTCCATTCCCATCTTTGACGTCAACTATACGAATTCTACCATCTCTGGCAGGATACGTTTTAACTACTCTTGCTTTTCGCCAATCATTTCTTGTTCCATTTGGATCAACAATTATAACAATGTCATCAACTTTAATATTCTTCTGTTCTTGATACCACTTGGAACGTTTGATAATTGTTGGTAAATAGTCATCAAGCCATCGCTTCCAAAAGAAGTCTGCCAAACGCTGAGCTGACCTCCAACTGTTCATAAGATTAAGATCTCGATTGTCAGTAGTCACAGTCCAAGGTTGTGCTACAAAATCTGGTCCGATCAGGAAGTGATTTGGTGTCAGAGGTTCAGAGTCATGAGAATCTGAAGAAACGTGCGCCAGAGGTCTGGAATTCAATATATTTTCGCACTCTATGAGGAAGGTTCTGAGTATATGTTCTTGAGGATACCTAGTATTCAGAATTTCCTTTAATATCTTCTTTGTGCTTTGAATTTGCCGCTCCCATATGCCGCCCATATGTGGTGCATGTGGAGGATTAAAATACCATTTAATTCCTCGCAATGAACAAAATTCTATTATTGCATTTTGTTGTAAATTGTCAAGATGTTGCCAAATTTCCCTTTCAGCCCCTCTAAAGTTCAATCCATTGTCACTATGGATTTCGTGAGGCAACACCCACGTCTACAACCAAATTGCCGGAGTACATTTATAAAAGCATTAGTCGTGAGGTCATGAGCAATTTCTAAGTAAACTGCCCTGGTTACTAAACAAGTGAAAATAACTCCATACCTTTTCTCTCTGCTGCTCTTCACTGCAACTTCAAAAGGCCCAAAATAATCCACTCCACATTTTATGAATGGTCTGATTGTTGGTTCTATTCTGCATAATGGTAATTGTCCCATAATAGGTATCATGGGATTGGCTCGCCTATTGCTACAGTGCTGACAATTATGGAAAACATTTTTCACTGCTTGTCTCATACGTAAAATCCAAAATTTACATCGCAATTTGTTGAGTACTATTTCTTGTCCAAAATGATATGCATTTTCATGATAATGTTGAATTATCAGTTTAGTTATTCTATGTTTCGGGTCTAATATTATCGGATGTTTCGTATCGAAATTCAAAGATGAAGAATTATTTAATCGTCCATCTAGCCTCATCAACTTGTCCTCTTCTCTAAACGTACATGACAATGAAAAGAGGCGACTCGTTTTCTTGATCATTTGACCTTGTTTTAACATTTTGTATTCTTCTAGAAAAGAGTCCATCTGTACCTTTCGATAAAGATTAATTTCAGCTTCATACAACTCTTCAACAGTAATTTCGTTCCGGATGAAAACTTTCGCTCGTAGTATGTTTCTTACTCGGATTATGTAGGCAGTAGCTCTAAGAAGTCTCGTCCATTTTGAAAATCTTTCAGGATTAGGAATATCAGGGATCAAATCTTGTGCTGAAAAGTTGATGAAAGTATACTCCAGTCTTTTCATTTCTAAATTGTCTGAATCAATTTTCAAATCATGTTCGATTTCTCTTGGCCATTCCTGGGAATTCAATAGTAGAAACTTTGGCCCACATATCCACCTAGAATCTGCTGATACTGAGGAGTTGATAACATATTTCGTCGCTTCGTCCGCAACGTTGTCTGAAGATCTAACATATTTCCAGTCAGTTACACATGTTAATTCTTGAATTTCACCTAGTCTTTGGGCTACAAATACTTTAAAACGTCCAGCTTCCGATCGAATCCAATGGAGAACTGTTTTTGAATCAGTCCAATATGTCGTGGATGAAATATTCAAGTTTAAATTCTTCATTAGATAGTTACCTAAGCGTGCACCCATTAATGCCCCTTGAAGTTCCAACCTTGGTATTGACATAGGTTTTAAAGGAGACACTCTTGCTTTGGCATTTACGAAACTGACCTGTACTTCATTTCCATATTGTATTCTCAGATAAGCTACTGAAGCATAGCATCTTTCTGAAGCATCGCAGAATATGTGCAGCTGCAAATGACTTGAACTCCTATCGAATGTGAAATATTGTCGTGGTATCTTGAAATTATACATTTTCTTCAATTCCTCAATCCATATGTTCCATTTATTCGCCAAGTTATCTGTAATTTCGTCGTCCCAACCTAACTGGCTCCTCCAAACATCCTGTATCAGCATCTTACCTTGAATCAATATGTTTGTCTTTGTAATAAATCCCAGTGGATCAAAAACTGACATTACAATTTTCAAAATCTCCCTTTTCGTCGGTCTTCTTATATTTTCCAACAAATCCTTTTCAATTTTGTGGAATTTGGTTTTGAACTCGAAAGTATCATTAATTGGGTTCCAAAATATGCCAAGTACTCTTTCGATATTCTTATCGTTTTCATTTCTCAAAGTTTTCATTCCATCGGCCACTAATTTGGAATCAATATGGTCAATAATTTTGATATCATTCGCAATCCAATTGCAAATCTGAAAACCTGCCTTACTGTGTATATAAATCACATCTGCAATTAATTTATGGGCTGCTTCAATTGTGTCTGCTCCACCCAAATAGTCATCCATGTAATATGCTTCTCTATAATGTTGTGAACAGCATCTGGATGAGTCAGTTTAAACTCTTGCGCATTCTTATTCTTAGCTTCCTGAGCTAAGCAAGGACCACAAGTCGATCCAAAGAAAACAACTTCGATTTCATAAACGTCAGGTTCTCTCGTTCTATCCATCTCTCTGAAAAGGACGCGTTGTGCACTACAATCGTCTTTCTTAACGCGAACTTGTAAAAACATCTCTTTAATGTCAGATGTGAACACATATCTGCAGATCCTGAAGTTAATTAGTATATTAAAGAGAGAGTTATATTTGTCAGGACCTGTCAATAAAAAATCGTTCAAACTGACACCATTACTCTTGGCAGAAGCATCGAAAACAATGCGTAATTTATCAGGCTTATTTGGATTAATTATACCAAAATGAGGTAAATACCAGACTTTGGATTGATCTCCACATATCTCACTGTTGTTCAATTTTCGTATATACTTCTTTTTCACCAGTTCATCGAATTTCTGACAATATCTTCTGCCATACTCTTCATTTTTGTCCATTTTTCTTTCAGTGCAAATAAGTCTTCTCATCGCATTTTTCTTGCTTTCGGGAAGTACTACATTTTCATCTTTCCAGAGGAGTCCGGTTTCAATTCTTCTTCCTGATCTTGTCATGGTTCTATCCATTATAGACTGAGCGACTATGTCTTCTTTGGACATTGCTTTTTCAATCTTAAATACTCCAGACGAGTCTATTTGCCATTGTTGTTTAACTAAGTCATGTAAAACATCCAAGTCGTCCTTATCTTCACTACTCATGTGACATACGTGACTAGTAGTATGTTTGTTTGAAAATGTGTTAGCAGTCTGGCTTACATTTTCATGAAGTACCCATCCCAGCAGTGTCTTGCTTAAGGCAGGGCCATTCCAAGGTCCAGAAATAATCCTTTTGTTAACTAGTAGGGGCCAATTGTCCTGTCCTATTAGCACCTTAGGTTTTGCATTTGTCATAGACAAAACCCCATTACCTAAGTAAGGAAATCTTTCCATCATTTCTGAACTATTAATGGATTGAGTAGGTAGGGACATTTCTTCCATAGTCCATACACGACGCAATTGATATTTCTTATTCTTTTGTTGTCCGATGATACTGAAACTTGCTATTCTTGAATCGTCTTGTCGACGAACTTGATTATTTGTCCACTGAATGGTGAGTGTACGTTGAGGTCCATCCATATGAAGTTCATCAGCTAAGTCTTGATCTATGAGTGTAACTGTGGATGCATCATCCAGTAAAGCATGCGTATGTACATAATTTCCATTTGTATTAATTATAATAGGAATAATCTTCAATAAAACATTGTTACTTGTTAAGCGATGATAATTAACTTCATGTTGATAACCATGCAATAATACGTGATGAGGCTTTGTGCATTGATTCTTCCCACATATAATTGATTTGCATGTCCTCAAAGTATGATTAGGTATAAGACAAGAGAAACATATTCTTTGTGATGTGACTAAATGCCATCTATCATCAACGCTTTGAGATTTGAATTTTGAACAATTACTAAGATGATGAAACTCATTTCCACAACAAGCACATTTAGGGTTTGTTGTTCTACTATTGTTTGTGGTCAGAGTAACATCTCTCCTATTGTGTTTTTGTTTATCCCTAGTTACATTAGCTACCGTATCTGACAGTTTTGGCATTTCAATTTGACTAACAATCGAAGCCCTATGATCTAACCACGCACTGAATTCTATCAGTTTAGGTTGTTGAACCGTTTTTCTAGAAATATATTCCAGCCAACGCAACTTCTGTGAGGTTGGTAATTTATTAAGTAGAATTGGATTTCGCAAATGATCCTCTTGATTTAGAGTTTTCATGGTACCTATTACATTTTTGACGTTGTCAGAAAAATTAATGAACATATCAAGTTTATCTTCTTTCACTACGGGAAAGTTCCTTATTCTATCTAAGAGCATAAAGACTATTAATTCAGGACGACCAAATCTTTTCCTTAACATATCAATGATTTTATCCGCATTCCTTGGCAATATAAGGAGACTCTCAACAATCGTTCTAGCATTACCTTTCAGGCATTTTTGTAATCTACATTGATTCTCTTCTTTTGTGTAACCACAAATACCTGTCGAATTTTCATACTGAAATATGAAATTGGGCCACTCTGTGGGATCACCATTAAATATTGGCAAATCTTTTGGCATTGCTTGTCTGGTTATGAATGTTGAGAATTCGAGTGGTAATTGAGATTTATTTATTTGTTGGTTACGCAAATTATATTTAGATCCTACCTCAGATGACAAATCCTTTGCAGGTGAAGCATCTCTACGACAAATGACCTATTACTTTCTGACCCACTGTCTACTGATTCAGAATTCCCGTCGACCTCTTCTTGTTCTAACTTGGAGACCTGCATCGCCAATTCTAAATCCACAATCTCTTGCGCCAGTTTCCGCTTCTTTATCTCGGCGTCAATCTTGAGTTGTTGTCTTACGAAACAGTTGCTTTTACTAGATGATTTCCTTGACCTGCACGATTGCGTATCTTCATTGGTTTGAAGAATCTGAATCTCTTCTTCCTTGTCAGGAAGGCTGTCATGTCGTTGTTCAATATGTTTACCCATGGCTTTCACACGTTCACTCCGTCTTGGAAAAGTTAATGATTTTGACATCTTGGTTATTCTATGAATTTCTTGATGCCTTGTCTGAGGGATCAATGTCGTTCACGAGTGCTTCCTCTCTTGGGGAAATTACCAATATGACTATACCCACGTGATGTAACTTGTCGATGTAACAATCACGTACAGCTCCTCTTCTTGAAGGACTAATTACAATCCAAGTGCGGTTCGTTTTCTCGAAGGACCAATGTTATTGACTCTTACCTAATGTGATATGATTATATTGTCCGGGTCGAAGAACAATTTGACAAGAGCTTTTAAATTAAATTTATTATGACGGTTTTTTATAATTTTTTCTAACAACCTTATTTCTATGGCAACATTTTTTAATTATTCAGTAAACTTGATACCAAAAAAAATACAACAGCTCACTTATTGTTTCGTCCTTCTCACCATAGGCCATTGTTTTTCTTCAGACACGGTCCATCATCTCTTGCACGAGCCCTGTTCCCACTTATTTGGCTGCCAAATCCCATTTCCGCTTGAAATTCTTCAGTTCAAATGCAGTTTCACCCTTTTTCTTCAATATATGCAGTATATTTGGAGTTTCGGAATATTGGTTGGATTCATTTCCTTGGGAACCACTGTAACACCATTAACGGTACCACTGTTTGGCGGAATTAGAGCAGGGGTAACTTGTAAGGTCTGGCCAGGATAGGCAATCCACCTGATGCTAGTCCAGAAAAGGCAGTAGTCTCTTCCGTAGGAACTCCTCCTCGTAAATTTGGTGGTTCATGGTCCCAGAAGTAACTAAAGATTCGCTTTTCAGTCCACAACCGCAGATTCCTTGCGAGGCAATGAACTTATTGGGGAAATTAGACTTCTTCTTGATATTAAATTCTTCCGGGGCATTCTTTCGGTCAAGCGAAGTATAAAATTCCTGCCCAGAAATGTGATCGAAATCTGCCAGTTAGTACGTTTCGTCGTCCATAACCACACAATCCTATTTTGTTAATTTCATGCAATTTCCTGGAGCACTTCTTTTCCTCCAAATTCTGCTTTGCATTCCGGTCCGGCACAATCTGAGCCTTAAAACTTCACAATCGGACCCTCTGTTTCGCTTTTTGGACGATTGCGTCGCTTCCGTTGATGATAGCTTCGGATTCCGCTTAAACATCCACTTCCTGGTTCTCGTCATCAACAGCGGCTTCAGAACATTTTAAAGCCGATTTTCTGCAGGTCCATCCCCCATCAATTACATGTACTTTCCTGCTTCCCAGTTCTGTGTTATTTGGTAGAGGATTGAAAAATAAATAAAAGATGAAATTAGTTCCTTTGCGCATACCTTCCTCTGAGAAAAGAGACAATTGGACAGGAGAGAGTCCATACTGGAAATATTCCTGAAGTTCATATCAGACTTTTTGGCAATAGAAATACGATGAAAGAGTGTCAATGGATCTATTCCCCTGATTCAGTGAAATTTAAAAAAAAAGTACTCATAAAATGCCTTAATGTTGGCGTTTTTTCATGTTCAATCTTCAGGGCCCTGTTGCCTAAGTTGCTTCACCCTCCCCGGTTCCAGATATCATTTGTCGCTAAGGAGCTGTGTCTCTCTCAAGATGTCACTGTGACAGACCACATGCTTGGTAGTTTTTTTTTTATTTGATAGGCTATTCGGGATCAAAGCCCATAAGCCACGTGGGGGAATAAGTTTCATTTGCCTCGCCACAGAACCTACACGTGGACTCTCCTACAAGCCCAATGATCTGCAAGTGATAGTTGATCAACGTCCATAAGGATTTTCCGAATCTGGCGTCTATTCAGTTTTAAAAGCTTATTACGGTAACCCCCATGGAGAGGTTCTCCTGTGTTCAGGCTAACTGCTATGCTGACCAAGGGAGAACCTGATATCAGCACGTGTGCCTGTGCAATCACCATATATACTCATGCCCGTTCCTTTTTCCGTTAGGGACCCTTCTGTAAACCACACGAGCTCCTCAGGTTTGAGGAACGGGCGTTCCGCAACTGTTCCTTGTCCGGGAGAATGGTTTTAGTAAGACAGCCCGGATCACATCCCTTATTGCGAGGAAGAGATCGGATCTGAGGGTTTCCTCCCAGATCTACCCGTGGCCAAGGCTGCTTCGATTCTTCCACTCGTCCCAATCTTCCGAGCCTCTGCCTCCAGTCTCAGAAGTGACTCCATGGCCAAAGTTGGCATAGTTACAAGAAGGTATGAATGACTTAAACAATTTCGCAAACCTAAAGTAGACGGAAATTTATTATCAACGGGTTGTTTAAGGGTTGGTTACAGGTTATTTAAACATAACATATCAAAAAAACAAAAATGTGCGGTGTGTACTACGTAAAGTAACAACCCCCGCAATATAAAAGTGCTTTACAAGCTGGTATGAATTACATTAAAAAATTTCGCAAGCTTGAAGCAACCGCAAATTTATTATTAAAGGGTTGTTTAAGGGTTGGTTACAGATTATTTAAACATAATCTATCAAATAAACAAAAATGTACGGTGTACTACGTAAAGTAACAACCCCCGCAATATAAGAGTGCTTTACATGCAGGTATGAATGACATAAAAAATTTCGCAAACCTAAAGTAGACGGAAATTTATTAATAAAAGGTTGTTTAAGGGTTGGTTACAGATTATTTCAACATAATCTATCAAAAAAACAAAAATAATCTTGCTGGCATGCCACCATATAAGTGCACTATAGTGGCCTTATCACTATAGTGTAAAGCCACCAATCGAGGGTTCAACAACCAAAAGCCCTTCTACATTCTGCCAAAACTGTTCCATTTTTAATCGCAGCATTGTTTGAAGTTTTGAAATAATCCACCAAAGGGTGGAAGATTTAAATAGCTTTGACATTTCCTTCATATATGTGTCGCACATCAGCGTTTGCGACGAAATGCTCAAGTGCACACTAGTGAGAGGATGCCCTCAAGGTGGGGTGCTATCACCACTTCTGTGGATCATAACTGTAAACAGCCTCCTCTGTCGCCTTAATGACAGTGGCTACTATACGGTGTGGTAAGCGGATGATATTTCCATACTGTTCCTCTAGTATAAAAACGGTCACGTCAATCACGAAGGTAACCGCCCACTGTCCTTTTCTTAATATGGGTTAGATAGAGATGAAAGTATAATTGCATAACTTGTGTGCCTCTCATAGGCGCCCAGTTTATACCAGAAGAGCAATAATGACCTGCAAATTTGAGGCTCTTAAGAAACCGAAGAATAGTAGCACTATTTATCTATCAACCCCATAAACACAGTGCTAGTTCTCTTCACAAGAAAAAGAAAGGTAAAGGGTCTTTGAACTCCAAGAAAACTTCCAATTTTCTGGTTCAGTGAAATATCTAGGAATCACACTTGACAAAAAACTGAATTGGAGCAAACATATCCAGTTCAAAGCCGAAAAAGCAAATAGGGCTTTCTGGCAAAGTCACCGGGAGACTTTGGGGACCATTCACGAAGGCTGTGTTGTGGCCTCATGCAATTGTCTGATGGCCTAGAACCAGACTGCACAGCTGTAGCACTCCTTAATCATGTGCAAAGACTTGCGTCCCTTGCCTGCACGGGCACGATGCGAACAACTCCCACAGCCGTCCTGGAGACCCTTCTGGGACTTCCTTCAGTAGATCTCCACGCGAGAGAGCAGGCCACTCTAGCATTCTTGTGCCTGAAAAATAAGGGCACGTTGAATAGTGGACCACTATTGAATTCTGAGCGAGGCGATTAAGCGATCGCCTATCCTAGAAGAGAGATCGAACTCACTCACTCCTCAATTCATATTAGGGAAAAATTTCTATCACATATTTCTTAATGACGATAGGGCATCTCAACTAGAGATCGTCACGTATGGATCTGGAAGGAACAGGCACTGGTATTTACTCCAAAGAACTGAACCTCCACATCACCCCGAATCCAGAATCCAGCACCTAGCTCAGGGGTGAAGGGTTTCCATTTTTCTTTCTCTCTTCTTCCCGGCCTGATAAGGACGCTGACCGTAAAGGCATGCTAAAAATAGTAGTTCTTTGGTGAGTCCCTTAGAGGGGATGCGCAAGGAACACTTGCACGAAAACGGATACTGTTAACGGAAGAGATCGGGAGGGAACAGATCCAGGCCCCTTGTCCAGGAGGCACAAACGCGAAAGTAGTCACCCGGAACTAGCCCGATCTCAAACTTCCTACTTCCTACATGGAGCAATGGATCCTTTCCCTTTTTACTGGAAGCATATTTCGCTGAATTTGGTTACTACTTCCCCGGTTAATAGACAATAGCGATTCAGATGGACCTTAACTGGTCGTTTCTATTGCTCCTTTCATTTTCTTTTAAATAAAAGGTACCACGAAGTACGGTTCTCGGGGAATTAATTTCTTCGGCAACATGTACGTTACTTAGCCCGCTTAAGGACGAAATCTGCCTCCCAAAAATTCTCTAATACGTCCTTGTTACTCATTAATTAACCACACATACACAGTGCCTTTGAACATATTTAAACGTTAATTTGTTCATTTAAATTAGAGTTAGGGCGGTGAATCGTTTTTTCCCAAGTCCATAATGTTTGCAAATCATTAAAAAGATGAAATACGATACAAACTCCAGACTTTTACGCTCTACTGATTTCGGAAAGCAATTATGAAATAAAGCCTTATAGAGGTAAAAATGAAGCAAAAGTACATGCCGATCCTTTGCACTGCAGTTGACCAATTTGTTGTTTCAACTTAGCTAGCTAGTCAATTGTTACAACAATATAAAATAATTGAAATAAAAACAAGAACTGTTGACAAAAAAATTATTTAATACGAAAAAGCAAATGTTAACATAAGTTATCCAAAAAGCAAAAGAGCTTTCTGTATAAAATTCAACGATGCAACTTGTAAACTATTTCGAACCCAATCTGCTAGTTGAATCACAGAGTGTAATGATGGAAAAATACGACAAATGTTTTCGCCAAGGGATTGAGCAGCCAAATGACATCCT